AAATCTAATAGGTCCATCAACTCGCACCTCCTTGCACCACAGGAAAATTTGTCTTTTTTATAAAGAACCCAGGAATTACACAGTGCGAGATCAACCATATGCCAAAAAACTCGTGTGGGCCACTTCTTTGTTCTGATATTAATACGGTAATAGGATATCAACCTGTCCGCAAGATCTACGCCTCCCATTGACGTGTTGTAACTTGCTACGAATACGGGGACAATTGACATTTATGTAATTTTTGGCTTTCTTATCCCATCGACGAACAGATATAAGTGGTCGTGCTCCAGTCGACGTGGCCGCCATTAGAACCGAACGACTGTCCATCCATTTTACAATCGCTAGTTTCTCATCTTCTCTCACAAATTCATTGAAGGTACCTCTGCCTCTTTTTAGAAGATCATGGTCGGTTGAAAGTTTTGTTCGCAGTTCTTTGGGGATTCGGTTTTGTTGAATCGTGCCCGTAGCATATATTCCATTTTCCAGCAAAAACTCTAGTAGTTTTATCGAAGTAAAATATCGGTCAATAAATATTTCGCTGCCTTTACTAATATTTTCTGCAAGTCTTTGCACTACTGTTCCTCCGATACCTAAATCGTGGTTGCAAAATTTTTCAAACCAACAGGACAGGGTTTCCCCTTAACATATTGTTTCAATTGCGTGGTACCAGAGAATGGAATCATTTGTTCATCGATGCTCAGTTTTGCTGGCTTTGGTAGCAATTGACATTTTTTCAAAACGGCTTTTATTATTGGTTCAACTTTCCACAATTTGTTGTTTTCTTTTTCTTGTGGTGTAGCTCTTAAGTTGTCGACAAAATGCATATAATTTCTTAATTTAAAAAATCGATCCCTTGGTATCTGTGTAATGGCTGGAACATTAATAGCAGGTCGGTAGTACATCCTTACGCGCGGAAGTTTCATGCAACCAGCAAGTATGTGGGCCCCAGATAGTTTCTTGTACTCATTATAGTTTGAATACAAATTTTGGCCGTTTTCTAGAGCGTACGTATTACTTTGTTGTGAAATTTCGCGCCAAAAATCGTCGTCAAAATACTCCGAGAAATATTGGAAAGGTGTCCACTCAAATCTATCTTCTGCGTTCCATGCCTCGTCGGCAGCGGGAGTATTACCCACGACAAATTCTTTGGCTAGCCATTTAAGCGGTTTTTTATTTTGAAGATTTGAGTGGCTTTCATTTGCATCAACCAACTCTTGTTCAGCAATATTTTCTTCTTCATTATCAGATTCTGCATTGTAGTTAGAATCGGAATCACTTGAAGAAGCCACATTCGAACAATTAGGAACGAGTTCCAAGTCTTCATCGTCGGACAAACCTTCAAAATCACTGTCCATGAGCATCTCCATCACCTCTTCTTCCGTAAAACGTTTTTTCGACATGATAGCTACCAAATGTCCAGCCCACTGAACATTTAAGAAACAGTATTCATATCCGAATTTTAATAAACTTATTTAAAAGATTTTTTATTTACCTTAAAGAACAAGTATTTTTCGATTGAATTTAATAAAATATTAAACTTGATTTGAAGAAATATAGCGAAAATATTAATTTGAAATTACATTCACAAGGACCACACGTTTTTTCAAATAACTGTTCACTTCTTGGATCGTATTACGACAGTATTGCCACAAACGCAAAGAAAAAACAATTCAATTGTAAACTTAAAATGTCCAGCTGGCTATAAAGTTGGATCGAATTGAAATAAATTTAAAATTTTTTATTATATGTCCATTTAAAAAGTGTCCAGCGGGCTACACGCGAGGACCGAGGAGGATAAATCCTCCTTTCCTTTGTTAAATTTATTAAGTAAACTTTTTCAAAACTATTTTCTATTTATCGCAGATTTCCAATCATCAGAGCTAACAATTCAACGAACACGGCGTGAGCATTCGGGAAATTTCACTTGTGTGGCTAGCAATACACAACCTGCAAGCGTGTTAGTGCATATTTTTAAAGGTAATACTAATTAATTGATAGTAAAATATACATAAATACCATGAAATATGGAAGTAGCATTAAATGCGAATGACGTAAAATATTATTTTTAGCGACTACCAAAGATAAGGGTAAAAACTCAAAATGATTTATTTTTTATAATTAAATCGGAAATTCATTACAAATTAGTGACAGTCAATTTTAACATTGCTCTTCTAGAGGCGAACTACTTATCAAAAGAAACTTGCATGATTTAGTTATTGAATCCGGGTCCTAATGAATAGAGCAGTGCACAACATTTAAACTCAGTGACTTTTTGAACAAATATATTCCCATACAAAAAAGCTCTTTAGCTCGATAGATTTAGTCCAGCGTTTTTCGAAATTGTTAACTCTAACAAGTATATCCCTCCATTCGACCCAAATGACCGAGCCACTTCTCTGTACATATTTGGACAGCAGAGTCCAAACGAACTAAGGTACTCGTTTTATTTCTTCTCGTTTATATTCAACAAAAAAGCAAATCGGAAAACTCGGAGTCCTTCTGATTCGTATGGATTTCTGCTTTTTGTTGCAAAATACTTGAAAAGGATGGCTATAAGAATTTGTTTTTCTCTCATGTAATATTTGTAAAAATAGACTTAGCAACTTTTCACTTTTGCAGCCGATTACAGGAAGAAGCATCGGAAGTACGTATAAAGATAAAAATAATATACTCTGACAGGCATTAGCATAACGTATCACCAAATACCAGCTTGTGCCCCGTGTCTACGTTAATAGTGTCTTTCTTGTCTGGGTTTCCCGCCATAGGAAAATGGAAGACATTGAGGTAGGTGAATTGCCGACGAAAGCAGCCAGTTTGGAGGACTTGCAAAATAGCCAAAGAACTCTGTCCTACCAATGAAAGATCGAACGAATTAGCCATATTCAATAGTTTTCGGTCAGAAGTCTTTAGAAATGTAAAATCTATTCGTGGCCCACGGGAAAAGATAGGATATAAATGGCCCAGAAATCTATGTACACAAAAATTCGGGTGGTCCATAAAGGTTTTTGGTATAGGGTTTTGTTGAATTTGTATGTTATTTTGACAGCAACACCTCTTTCCTACTGAAGTTTTGGCAGAAAGTCAGCTTGAACAAAGTTAAGAAATATAAAAGATTTTGCTCGAAAAATCATATGACGTGCATTTTTAACTATGTGACTATGTTAACAAGCAAAACTGTTAGGCCCTTGTGGCGAACATCGAGCATGCCACTCGTGAGATAGATGGATCCAGAAATCGTCAGCAAAGTTAGACAAAACTAAGTTAATAGAATGCGCTACTGCCATGCTAGCCACCCACGCCCCCTTCTCATATAACTTTATTTTCGTAAATTGTAAAAACTACGATCATTCAGTAAATATGGGATCCAAATTCTTGGAAATTATTGCGGAAATTGAAATGTGAACTAGAATTTTTGTACAAAATAATATTACAATGAAATTTTTGGAAAAACTCACTCAAGTGTGGGGCCTATTGGACTATGGATGTATGTAGGTAAATTTATGCATGTGTAATTGAAATTGCAAATATAAGCCTACTCACACATTTATCAAAAAAAATGTGTTCAAAAGACTATGCAGAACTTTACCCTAACTTTGCACAACACGTTTCAGTACAATTTCCCACAATAGAAATTAAGCATTACAATTGTGGGCATATAAATAGGTAGATATATGTGTGTGTACGTACATACACATTCACATAAAACACCATGCAACAGGTCACCTCGAAATAGTTATTCACCATGTTTTTCCAATAAATTAAATTGCTTTTCAGCACCTGTCAGCGTTGCTTTAGCTGCACTTCTGGCGATAATTGCAAACACTTGGGCGTCTAGGTACGGCATTTCTCAGGCTAACAAAGAAAGTTCTTATGTACGTGCACATATGTATGTAAGTTTATGCTTGTAAACATGTGCTCACAATCAAAGTCAATGAACTGGCAAGCCATGGAAAAATGTAGTATCAGTATGTACTTACATATACTATGCAGAATGTGTAATAGGCAAAATGTAAGGTATGAGTAGGAAAAAGCACAGATTGAAATGGTAGTCGTATGGAGCTCACGTGTGCTCTCTGACATGCAGACACATATTTATAGGAATTTAGAACAAATTTTAGTATAAGAATTGAATTTGATAGCAATATTGCTTTTACGTCTACTCCGTGTGAAATTGAATCAATACAAGGAAAATAAAGAGACTAAAGTGATGTTGTACTTGCTCACTAAAGCTACCGTTTGCAACTAAATATGTTGTTGTTGATTATACAATATAAAATTTACTAAACCATAATAACAAAACTGTATTACATACATATCTATGTATGTATACAATCATGCAAAATAAGTACTAATATCCTCAAGTTCTACACATGCCGATGAAATCGGTAGTAAAAGAAGGTTCAGTGCTTTCAGCAGCACTAAACAATAAAATTAGTTTGAAGAAGAAAATGAAGCTCTTACCTGGCTGCATAGAGTGCTGTGGTCAGACCACACCTCAACAGCAGTACGAATGCCGTCAGCGCGATACATAATTTTTATTTTTTTCTGTTTTTGGTTTTTCTTAATTACAAAAACGCCTCTGTGAAGTGCAGAACCAAATCAAGCGACGAAGAAAATTGATTCAACTTGAACATTTGAAGAGATGCTTGTTGTTATTTGCTAATCCCGCCAGAGGCAACATGTTAAAATGATAATACAAATTTTTGTTTTTTATCTCCGTATTATGAAAAAGCATCTGTGAAGTGCAGCACATAAACGTATTCAAATGAAAAATCGACAACCAAAAATTTGGATAATGTAACAAAGTTGTGGTTAATATTACCAAATCAATGTTGAAAATATCAACCAAGGCATTATTAATATTAACCAAAAATTACGCTGATTCCTTTTCAAGTTTGAATTTGGTATTATTAATCAATTTTTGGTTGATTTTTCTCTTAGTGTACAAAGAAGTATCTGCCGCTCGGATAAGGTGTTAAATTGTGGGTAGGGACCCTCTACCAAACCTTTAGGCGAAATGTGTGAGCACCAAATATTTATATACTTTTGGAGAGCGAATTCCGCAATAGTTTGACTACCTGCTCTTGCTCTTCATCAGCTTCTTATGTGCGTGTTTGTTTTATTTTGACCCCAAGGATCGAAGGTTGCATCCACCTGCATGGCTGCACCTGTTGGCACCTGTTTTGCTATTGTTTGCACTGATACCCAATTTAGCGCTAATCTTTCTCTCGACTGCTAATTAGGTTGTCTCCCATATTTCCTTTTGAAACTCACGAAGATAACCTGTAAATACATTAGGCGTGCTAAAGTTTCTGCCTTAACCAAGTCTTCTTCCAGGTTTTACTTTAAATGCTTCTTGTTATGTTTTTCAAAGTTATGCTTCCATTGTGCCTGGGCTTTCTGACGTTATGTTATGGACGTGATCATCCGAATTCCGAAAGCCGCGAATGGACAAGCTCTTCATTCATTTTATAAACTATGACTTAGAGCCGCTTGCACCATGTTTGGTTAACACTTTCTCCGAGCAAAACACCATATCGGCGTTATCGGCTTCCTGTTATAAGCATGGCGTCGATAACGTCGATAACAATGTGTAACTAAGGGTAAGTGTTAGCTAGACATGGTACAAATGGCTCTTAATAGGTTAAGTTTATTTTCTGTCCATAAGCTCAATATTGTTTTATACTTAATTTAAGAATGTTTCATTTAATTTGAAAAAAGTATCATTTAATTTGAATAAAGTTTCATTGATTCTGAAAAAGGTTTCGCTTTATCTGAAAAAGGTTTAATTTAATTTGAAAAAGGTTTCACATATGATGAAAATGATTTCATTTAAACTGAAAATGCTACATGATCCTTTCGCTATTTCGGGTCGAGTTCCAACTTGATTGGGATATCTACGTTCGTGATGGACAATATTTTGACATTTTAACCCAACTTCCGTGTGCGGTTTATACCTGCTGCCGAGCTGACGTTTAAGTTCGTTTCTTTGCGTCACTGGCATTCGAGTCACTTATACCTATTCGTTTGAGTCGCTTTTTACGGCACACATGCCTTACTATGGTGGGGATTACTAAATCACGAATTTCGATACCTTGAAACTTACACTTGATCCCACTAATATTAAATGAAATTTAATTTATTTATTTTATTTAATAATAATAAATACATGCACAACAACCAGAGGTTATGAATTACAGTGCATGTACATAAGTATGTTACAAATTTCTTAAACTATGTAAATATAATCACTTACAAATCAATATGAACTAAGACTGATAGACTAACTAGACAGTGAAAGTGGAATTCCAAGTAGAGGAGTGAGTAATTGAATAGGTTTAGAGGAAGATGATAAAGAAGCGTTGATATTCATAGAAAAAGGAAGGTTAGAGAATATTACACTAGGAATCACTTGGCAATTAGGTGAAAATTTGCCAAGTTTTTAATATTTATGTATAAAGTATGTATGAATTTTTATTGTTTTTGTTATAGATATATCTAATAACTTAGACTTAAAAAAATAATCTTTAAATAAATAAAAAATAAAAAAAATTGCCAAAGGCTGTTTAAACTGTCACCAACTTAATTAGATAACCACAGAGGTACATATGCACCCTTTTTTGCGCCAAAAATATCTGTTACTGTGTTTCAAGCTACTCTTTTTGCTTGCATTAAATAATGTTATTGTGGACTTGGTTGGGTAGAAGTTTTCTTTTGTGTATTTGTGGCCAAATAAAATTTAACAATGAAATACCATAGTGGACTATATAGTCTATATCCCCTTTAGTCTCTCAAAGGCATACATCGTTGTAAGAACATACAGTGACTCAAACAAACAACCACGTGTTTTTTTTAATATTCGCAATTCGTTGATTTTTAGTTTATTTTTTTTGTTTAATTTTGAAAATTTAGCTTGAAAAACGTTACGAATATTTTAAGAAAATTAACACGTGGTCATTTGTTTCAGTCACTGTATG